CAGTAAATTATCAAACTTTTTAAAAAATTATTTTTTGAGGAACGATCATAGTTTCAAACCAAAAATCAAATATGGTTAGATGCGCAATAAAATTCTCAATCGAACCTGCTATTCAGCTTTTTGATACTTTCAGATTTTTAAATCCGGCAGGGTCCTTTTTCCAGTTTACTGGATCTTTTGAGTTTAAACTTTTCCTCTTCTGTGACAAATTTATACCTTGCGTTCTAAGCGTTTTGGATATCAATGGCTGACAAGTTATATATATCATTTCTCTATCTATAAGCTATGATGTTTATACTTGGACCGATATGAACGAGAGAAGCATGATGTCACTCTACACAGTGGACAACAACGTGGACATTAGGTGAAAAAACTTAAGTGAGCTTTTTAATTATTTAAATAGCGGAGCATATTCTTGGGGAAAAGGCAAATCTTTTTTGGCTGGGAAGTTTTTCTCTAACTCTTTTAGTTGCTGAGACAGAGCATTTCCAAGATTTAACTAGATTCGAGTGAAATCGGAGAAAAAGAGCCGGTAGCGGCGAAAGTAAGAAGAGTGCACGAATGAACTTAGCATATTCTGAAACAGGAGATCTTCCTCTATCTATTCGTCAACAAAACTGTCATTTTCCAAGACTTTTCTCTACTACGAAAAATGCATTCTTCCTTTGCTGGGTATTTTCCCAACAGGCGTTCTTAGTAAAGTGATCGCGTCATCCTTAGCCATCACTTGTTTTCTCTGACACTTTTAAGGTTTGCTCTTCTACATATGAAGCATATGTACTGTATGCACAAAGATGCACAAAGTCTCCAGAAAGAAGATATGAATTTTATGATTTTTTTGGTTATCGATGATTCTCTATCCAATGAAATTGTTTTCGAGTTTTTTAAAGGTTTTCTAAGTGGTTTTCTAGAGACTGGATCTCTAGAGAACTTAGAAAATCTTTTTAGAATTCGAAAAGCATTCAGTTAGATAGAGCACACAAGATAACCTGTAGAAAACGTGCTTTTAAGTTTTCCTCTACCTTGTAGGCCAAAGGTCCACGTGCCTAGTGAAAATTGCCTTCTGTGCTCTAAACTAACAACAGTCTTAATATATGTTATATATATAGTTACTAGTATACAGTAAATTGTACTGTGACATCTGTACACAACGAAGAGAAAAAACGTATCCTTGAAAGAAGTTATCTGCTAAAAATGGCCGCCGATTTTCAAAGAAAAGAAAAAAAGAAGTGATTCGTATTGAATAAATAGACCAATCAGTTTTTTCGATGAGATGCCGCCTATATATGGCTGGCTTCACCGTTTTTCAGCTTTTTTCTTCTTATTCCCTCACAAAATTCATTTTTATCAAGAGATTTCGTTGACACTTGAGTTACGAGGTAGTTTATTATTAGAAACAAGCGCCTAAAGTTGAGAAATTTTCATTATTTAGATGGACGTATTTGACCTCTACACATTTTTTCTTCTGACAGCTGGCTTTCAACAACTGCTGAAGTTACCTGCTATTGGCAACTGTTATTAGCAAGTAACTTCTTACAACGAAACGTATATATGTAAAGTGTACATGCCTTCGATTTAAGAATAAATAAGCAAAGAAAAGACTGATGAGTCATCTGTGTTTTTCGCTGATTGAGTGAACATTTTGAACAGATCGTTTTGGGCATATACTGCCTCTTTTAGAATGTTTCAGTGCAAGATTAATATCTTGCACTATTTGTAACGTTACTATAAACATGGCAACTTATTCTATAGCTACTAAATCAAAATCTTTACTTGATTCATGCCGGATTTTCTTATATTCGTGACTTATTGGTATATATCTGTAGCTGAAGTAATTTTTTGTGTTCATCTTTAATATTTCTCTTGTTCTATACACTGGAAATAATATTGATAATTTCTGTTTGACAATTCGAGGAAATTTCCATTCAAAGAAATTCTGTTCGAGCAAGCTTCATTCGAGCAAATTATTTTCGAGGAGATTTCATTCGAGCAAATATTTCGTTATAATAACCTTCCTTGTAATTAATTACTTACACCAAGAGAAAAGTATGTTGTTGATATTTTAACCACATCAGACGGATCTGATTTTAATTGAATTAGCAGAAACTTTTTAAAATTGTGTATTGCTTCTTCATTATTACCTAACTGCTGAAGATTTTCACTCATAGATTGCCATGAGTAAACTATGAAAAAGCTATAACCATAGCAATGAGAAACTATGAGAAAAAGCTCTTGAAATTCAATTGAATTCATTACTATGTAACCAATCTAAGCTTGTAAAAACCTACAGTGGCATTGGTGGGATTTATAATGATGAAAATCTTTATGAAGAAGCATTAAAATATTATGGATTAGTATTTGAGTAAGAATAAACAGTTTGAACCTGATCGTTTAGATTTCGCAAAGGGGTATTTGAAACTTGAGGATGCTTATTATAAAATGAATAATTACAAGGAAGCAATAAAATTATGATAAGGCACTTCAAATTCAAACGGAACTATTGCTTACCGAACATCTTCGATGTGCTAGAATCTATAATGGAATCGATATGGTAGTTTGTAAACAAAATAATTGTTCTAAAGCTTAATAAAAAGCAATTGAAATTCAACTTAAAACATTGTCACCAAACTTCTTACGTCAATATGACAAGTATTCAAGAAAAACAACAGGATTACAATACTGCAATATGAATTATAAAAAAGTTCTCAGTATCAATCGCAAAAAATCTTCCATTAAATTATCCAACATTTGCTAATATGCATTTTAATCTAGTAAATATTCAAAAGAATGCAGACAATTATTCCAGGGCATTGGAAAACTATGAATAATATTCATCCATCGTAGAATTTTGATGATTTATTATCTAGAACGCTTAATGCCATAGGATTAATTCAGGTAATTATAAAGTAAATAGTAGCAGAGTCTGTAAGAAAAACAACATCGTATGATTCACTCATATTTTCAGTGTTATACTTACATACTTGCACGAGAGTAAAACAAAAAGGCGAATGAAAGTAGAGGTGTCGAATCGTACTAAGATCTTAAATAACTTTAGATTATTTTATCAGCGTCTTAAAGGGTAAGATCTTCCTAAGATAATTTTAAGAAATATCTAAATTCTTAATAGAGATACCTCTCCTTTCATGTAGACGTCTTTAATAAATTTTAAATGAAATTTCCTCGAAAATAATTTGCTCGAATGAAGTTTGCTCGAACAGAATTTCTTTGAATGGAAATTTCCTCGAATTGTCAAACAGAAATTATCAATATTATTTCCAGTGTATAGAACAAAAGAAATATTAAAGATGAACACAAAAAATTACTTCAGCTACAGATATATACCAATAAGTCACGAATATAAGAAAATCCGGCATGAATCAAGTAAAGATTTTGATTTAGTAGCTATAGAATAAGTTGCCATGTTTATAGCAACTAGGACGCAGTAGATTGCCGCAAGGTCCAAATGACCGTCCTTTTTTCAACCAACATTAGATGTTTTTAAGTAATGGAAAGCTTCGCTGTGGTTATTTAAGTTCGAATGAATCGCACCAAAATTGTTGCAAGTTAGAGCTGAATCAATATGATTATATGAAAGTGTTCATAATCGTATTTCTAATGCTGTTTTATAACCTTGAATTGCTTCCAAATAATTCCATTTTCCATTAACTACCGCTGCAATACTATTGTATGTAGCAACAAGATCCATGTTAGATTTTAATTTTATTTCTATTGCTAATTGGAAACCATTTCGTTGTTTCGTCTAGATTATTAAGTCTACAATAGATATCGTCCATATTATGATAGATCGTACCAATACTTGGATGTTCATGACTTTTTTAGTACTGTTATCCACATGTCATATCTGTAGCGAATATTTATGATTCTGGGCACACAAAAATATTGCTACGTCACAAGATCCATATTAAGTGCAACGTGTTCTTCATACTAAAGCAGGTTTTGTTATCTTCGACTTTCTGTACAAAATATGTGGACACCAAATAGTCACTCTACAGTGTAAAAATATGATGTTTTTTTCAAAGATTTAATAGCTAGTGAATGCCTATTGGAGGAATGGCTAAAGTCTGAATGAAAAATAATCGTTAGTTCTTATTCTTACTTTGAACTGATAATAACAATAAAAATTATCCTCAAAATCTGAGCGCGTAGAGAAGTAAAATAATTTTGCGTTTTACGATTCTCCACGCTGCTGCTGAAACGAACATGGAATCTCCTGTCTAGGATGTCTAGGAGAAAGCAAGACTGACTAGTTTGACCAGTTCTCATTCTTTCCGAGCGTTCGGTCTAAAAACAATTTTTTTTGACTGTTACAGCGCGTGTTTTCAAAAAAATATTTTTGATCTAATTAACAGAATTATTCAACGTCTCGCTCATTTCTCTTCAGTTTTGACTAACCTACTTTTCCCTGTAGTCTGACATCTTTTATGTATGGCTGCATTTGAAAATATAGTCCATGCGCTTTTATAATGATTTAGAGCTTCTGAATACTTATATTTATTAGAATGAAGCATGGCAATAATGTTGTCACCATAAAGCAGAGCTAAATTATTATATGTTGTATCTATATTTAGATGTGAATTAGGTAATGTTTTTAATTGAATTTTCAGAGCTCATCCATAATTTTCTAACGCAGCTCGATAATCACTTTTGTGTTTATATATCATTCCAGAATCATTATAAATCAATGTCATATGTGGATGATCTGATGGTAAGTATAGTTTTATAATTACTAGTACTTTAGTATAATATTGCAATACTTCATCGCAATTAATCTTATGCTTTATGCTCATGTAACAAAGCCATACCAGTGTAAGTGTGAGTTACAAATAGATGACTATCGGGTTCTGATTTTAATTCTAAATCAAGTGGTTTACTGTAATAATTCTCCACGGCAGTTACATAAATATTTTGATAAACATCTCCAATATTATTGTATAATTCTGCTATATCATCATGATCTGACGGTAGTTGTTCAAGTAATAATCTATAATATTTTTCTGCTCTGTCATTTTCGCCCATGAGAAGTAATATTTTTCATAAATTCAATAGTGTTGGTTATCACCAAATCTATATTTGAAATATTCCACTAGCTCTTGTAATTCTATTTCTTTTTAACTATATAACCTTAACCTTATTGACCAACGTGTTTTTGTATATAATCCAACCTCTTCAATAGAAAAACAACGCCAATTATGAATAATACTTCTTTTTCATCTACGAAATTGCTTGAGTTTACAATACTAGCAAACAGCTGATCATCAATTGATTTGTCACGTTCAGTTATAAAGCGACCGATCAGTTGTACCACCACCTATTTCTTCTTCCGAATAGGACAAAGTGACTGTAATATCTTAAGTAGTTGGAAAAAATGTATTCATTGAAACCAGCTTACCTTGGTTATCTTTGAAGATTACCACGTTACCTTCGCTTTTTGTTTAACCTCTTGAATGCCGTAAGGCATCTATAGATGACATGATGGAAATATAATATGTTGCATATGCTTTTTCGTTCTATCGATTTAACGTAAAAAAACTGCCAGAGGAACACCTGCCACGAAAACAACAGAACGTAAAGAGAAATATTTAATCGTTTTTTTACATATGCATGCCTTTGGACGCCTAAGAAGAAAAATAACGGCATTCAAGGGATTAATTTGTTTACTTCATCAATAGATAATTGTTGTCCACGATAGACAGTCAGGATATTGTCTTCCTTTGAAAATGTGCCAATTTATTTGAATGCATTTCACCAAATGAATGATGAAGACCGATGTTTCATTCTTCTCTTTACCATTATGGATCATTCATCTGATACGTTCGGTACAAGATCAGAGCTTTTGAACTCTCATTATCTTCAATCTAGGAAGTTATTGCGGGTAGTAAAACTGCGGATCATTGTGTTCTGATGCACTCTGTCGTACAATCGTTTTGGACTAACAAGGAAACCTCTCGAGATGATTAAAAGCTTTTCGACTCAGACTATTTTCATCATGTAGGGAATAGTCAGTAGCGAAAAACCCCAAGTTAGTTTGGGCCCATGCGCCTTTTTGACGGAGATATGAGTTAATTAATGAAAATGCCATTAATAATAATTAATTAATAGCTCACGATCATGATCAGCTAGGAGTCGGAAATTTACACCACAGTTGAAGATAGATGTTGTCTACTCACTGCGACACTTTTAGGCTTATAAACCAAAGCTTTTGCAAGATATGAATTTTTTATGATTTAGACAGTTTTTAGTGAAAATTCACCGTTGAAAACCTAAAAACTTGTCACCATCTTTTAAATACCTCTGTTCACGCTGCAGAAGCTCAGCGACTCTTAGGGACCTATATCTAAATGAAATAAGTCTTT